CCAGGGCTGAGGAGAGGGGCAGGATCACCTCCCTCCACCTGCTGCCAACACTCTGCCTAATGCACCCTAGGATCCCATTGGCCTTCTTGGCCACAAGGGCACACTGCTGGCTCATGTTTAACTTGTTGTCCACCAGCACTCCCAGGTCCTTCTCGGCAGAGCTACTTTCCAACAGGTCAGTCCCCAGCCTGTCCTGGTGCATGGGATTATTCCTGCCTAGGTGCAGGACCTTGCACTTGCCTTTGTTGAACTTCAGGAGGTTCCTCTCCGCCCACCTCTCCAGCCTGTCCAGGTCCCTCTGAATGGCAGCACAGTCTTCTGGTGTGTTAGCCTCTCCCCCCATTTTAGTATCATCAGCCAACTTGCTGAGGGTGCACTCTGTCCCTTCCTCCAGGTCATTGATGAATATATTGAACAAGACTATATATTGAACTATATTGACTATATTGAACTATATATTGACTATATATTGAATATATTGAACAAGACATTGATGAATATATTGAACAAGGAAGGCGTGCAGCGAAGCGCTTCTGGGGTCGCGGTAGGCATGGGGAGGCCAGATTAGTGAGGCAAGTGGTTCTGCCAGTGAGGTCTTGTTTGTGGGATTTTAGGCTTTGGAGGGGGTTGGTATCCTCTTCGGATGGTGTGAGGAGGGTTGCTAGAAGTTTATGGTGTGTAGGAAGGCCCTTGCGGTGGGCCTGTCTTTGGGATAGGATGGGCAGGTTGGGAGGGAAGAGGTAGTGCTGGGGAGTGATGCTCCCTAGAAAAAGAGTTTGGGTAGGTGGACTCTGCTAGGCTTCAGGTGTGACTCTGGGCAGTGCAAGTGTGAGGAGGTGAGGAAGGTGAGCCAGGCACTTGTTGTGAGTGTGCCCTATGCATGTGAAGGGTTTGTGGGGCAGTGGTAGGCATGACAACGCCAGATTAGTGAGGCAAGAGCTGCTGCTGCTGAGGCCTCGTGTGGGTGGGGGAGGCATTGGAGGAGGAGGCGTCCTAGTCGTAAGCTAGGGTCTAGACCCCCCAGATTCCACCACTTTGTGGGCCCTGACTTGCATTTTTTCACCCCCTTTCGACTCCTGACCCCCTTTTCTTATTCTCCTTTTGGGTCCAGATCCTCATTTTTTCACCTTTTTCTAGATCCAGACTCCCATTTTTCACCACTTCGGGGCACAGATCCCCATTTTCCACCACTTTTTGGCTCCAGACCTGCATTTTCCACCCTTTTTTGGCTCCAGATATGCATTTCTCGGATGCATAGCATCCGAGGGCTGGAAGCTGGTGACCTCTCGTAGAAGGAGAAAGACTCTTACTCCTCCTCAAGACTTACCCTTAAAGAACAAGTTTTGCGCCCTCCAAGCTGAGGAGGAGTTGGGCATGGCTCCAAGGGAGGCAACTGGCCTGACAGACCCTGTGCCATGCAGGAACACCTGGAAGAAGCGGCGAGTGATTGTTGTGGGTGACTCCCTGCTGCAGGGGACAGAGGCACCTATCTGCCGACCTGATCTCTTGTCTAGAGAGGTTTACTGCCTGCCAGGGGCTCGAATAAGAGATGTCATGGAAAGACTGCCAAGGCTTGTCCATGCATCAGGCTGTTACCCTCTACTGCTCTTCCATGTGGGCACTAATGACACCATGGACAAACTGGAAACCATCAAACGGGACTGACTGCCATTTCTCACCCCCTTTTGGGTCCAGACCCCCAATTTTCACCCCTTCTGGGGTCCACAGCCCCATTGTTTGCCACTTTGGCGGACAGGCCCCACTATTTGGCCGCTTTTGGGTCCAGACCTTTGTTTCTTTGCCCCCTTTTCAGATCAGAGTCCCATTTTTAGTGTTCAGACAACACCCATTTTTCACTCCTTGTTGGGTCCAGGGCCCCTTTTTTGCATTCAGATTCCCTTTTCTTTGTCCCTTTTGGGGTCCAGGCCTCCATTTCTTCGCTCCCTTTTTGGGTCTGGACTTGCATTTCTCACCCATTTCTCACCCATTTTGGGTCCAGACCTCCATGTCTTCACCCCTCTTGGCTCTAGACCCCCATTTCTTTGCCCCATTGTGGGTCTAGAGCCCCATGTTTGCCTTCAGACCCTTTCTTTGCCTCTTTGGGGTCCACACCCCAATTCTTTGCCCCTCTTTTGTGTGCAGACCTCCATTTTTCACCCCCTTTTCCCACAGATTGATAGCAACAGCAGGTTTTATCTCCAAAGTGGTGGAAGGAAATGGCATCTTGAACCCCAGAGAGCTTGACAGAAAGAGCAGGTTTTAACCCCAAAGCGGTGGGGGGAGGGGGAGCAGCCTCTATGTGCTGCTTGCTGAAGCTGGGGGCAAACTCTTTGCAGAGCCAAGCCAGTTGGAGCTCCCCTGGCTCCCCTTGTTCCCAGGGATAGCTAACAAAGGCAACAGCCCCGGCTGCTGTTCTGACCCTCCTGCCTTGCTCAAGAAATCTTCCTCCTAGGTGCACACTGCTGCTTTGTCAGACCTTCCCGTTGAGCAGCACCACGAGTGCGGGCGGTAGGTGCTTCTGGAAGCCCTTGCTCAGGCAGCCCCAGTCAGGCAGGGCAGCACTGAGTGCTGCATTGCCTTCAGGACACGCTGGCGGGGAGGGAGCGGGACCCGTGAGCCTGCCCCGCTGGTTGGGGGACCCCAGCACACTCGGAGCCCCTGCCACCCACCAAGAGACACCATCATGGCCCCTCCCTGCTCAAAGGGGAAAGCCAGGCCACGCTCAGAGAGACCCTCCGGAGGTAAAGAGCAGCACTGCCAGCACAGGGAAAGCTCACGTCCCTGGAGCCACAGGAATCTGGTCCATGTGGCCTGCACTGCCACGCAGAGCCGTCTGCTTGGCCTCTGATCCCCTCAGGACCTGCCCATTTGCTTTTGGGGCCAGCCCAGGCCCTCCCTTGACTGTGCGATGCCTCCTTGGGAAAAGGGCCCTACCCTATGGGCAGGGGATGTGCAGGTCAGCACGGAGTGAGCAGAGCAGCGTCCTGGTGGGCAGCGCTGCCTGGCCATGTCTGTGACTGCTGATTCAGCGCCTTGGGGCTGCGGAAAGGCCAAGAGCTCAGGGGAAGGCCTGGCAGGGTTTGGAGCTGTAGGGAAGGAGGCGATGAAGCAGAGAGCTGCCTGGGACTAGGCTGCTCTTTGCGCTCTGCCTGGCTGGAGTGTTCCAAGAGCATTTGTGGCACGTGCTGTGCAAGAAGGCTCTGGAGATCGTGGCCTGAATGCCCAGGAGTGCCTCGGTCTCTCTAGCGTGGGCGCCGAGGACAGCAGGTTGTAGTAGGCTGCAGTGAGCTGCTGGAGATCCCGCTGGGGGTCAAACTCCCTTTGCTGCCTGGCTCCAACCCTGTCTTCTACCAGACCAACTGGGGGGAAAAGGTAAAAGCAGTAGCAAGGGCCTAGGAAAAGTCCCTTCTTTGGCATCATCTCCTTGCCCAGACACACTGAGCAGCCTAGCAAAGACACGGGAGGGGTGGCCATCATCATCCTCAGGCAGTGTCAGAACTTCTCCTGCTTCCTTCCTTGGTGCAGATGCCAATGCCAGGGCCTCTCTGCTAGGCCAACACAGGAAGAATCCTTTTGCTTCCAGCTTCGATACCTTGTTGCCCACTCAGCTGCAGGGCAGTGGCTCCCGCTGGCTTATTGCTGTTTCTGGGAAGGCGGGCTGTGTAGTTAGCAATGAGCAGCCTTGGGGCTTTCTCCACTGCTCTCTCCCCAGGTTGTTTGTACTCTGGGGCAGTTCAGTGAATACAGGCAGTATCTGAGGATGCTCAAGATAGAGGCAGACAAAATGAACGGGCAAGAAGAAGTCAGTAAAGCTCCACGTTCCTAGGCACGCTTCTTGGTGCAGAGGGTTGGGGCTTTCCCTCTGTTTTCTCTCAGCAAGGCATGACCTGAAGAAGCGGTGAGGGCTGGGCTGGCGGGCTGGGCGTTCTGGTGTAGAAATGGTGACGTGGGTCCGGGCTGAGCTAGCAGAGGGTGCTGGGGTGGGGACAGGCAGGAAAGTCATCCCCGAGTGGCCAGGGTGCTGAGGGAAGCCCTTCTCTTCTGCCCTGGTTGTGTGGCTGAAGCCAAGCACTGCTCTGGGCCAGCGTGAAGCCTCAGGCCGCAGGTGTGTGAGAGCATTTGGTGGCCAAGGTGAGCTAAAGCCTGGCGTCGACTTTCAGAAAGTGCTTTGACGACAGCTGGCAAAATTAAAGGATGCCCCCAAACTGCCAGAAGGGCTGGACATTTCTCAACTCTGAGAGTGGCTGCTGTGGGAGCCAAGAGAGAGTCTGGGAGAGGGAGATGAAGCACAGGTAAGAGACAGGCCAAGCCATGCTTGCTCTAGGAGCGGGCATGTGGCCCTTCCACGAGTTGCTGGCTGGAGCCTTGTGTTCCAGGAAACACCACCCAGTTCCTGCGTGAGTGGATGCGGATTGTGCCTCCAGTGGGGCAACGTGTGCTTGGAGCCTGGCAAAGGCAGCTGGAAGCTGTTGGGTGCCCTTGAGCCAAGAACTGTGGAGCGGGATGATGGCAGTGGCTGAGTGGAAAAAGGTCTGGGCAAGACAGCTCCAGGTGCTCTGGTTCAGAAATCTGTCTTTGTCTTTCCAGGTTGCTTGCCAGGATTGCACAGAGGATGGAGAAGCTGGAGGCCCTTGAAGAACAGAAACACCTCCTGCAGCAGGCAGAGCGAGACGAGGTGAGCCTGGCACTCTTGGGGGGCTCCTGGGCTCACGCACTCCCCTACTCAGCATAAATCCACCAGCTGCACTAAGTGTTGCCACGATCCCTGTTGCTGCTTTCTTGTGTGGTGAGCAGCCAAAAACAGAGCCCGCCTGAACCCGGTCATGCCAGCGCTTAGCCACGCGTGGGTTAGTTTCCTGCTGCAGGAGGTCAAAGATCAGCTGAGAGGAGAGCCTGCCATTGCCTAATTTTCACTAGCAGGGTGCCTTCAATGCTGCCCGACTCCATCCCGTGGAGCGGCCTCTCAGAGAGCGTGACAACAGCTGGGTGCTCCAGAAACAAGGATTTTCTTTTTTCTGCCGGGCTCTCAAAACTAGCATTCTTCACATCAGTCCTGGGAAAGGGGCAAAGGAGCCTGCAGGAAGAGGCAGAGGGGAGGTGAGAGCAGGCAGCACCCGTGGGAGAAGAGTGCAGAGCAAAGTGTCCAACGCAACAACGTAACCTCCTCCATCTCCTCTATGCGTTTTGTCTGCCATTCACTCCTCAGTTCCTGCTGGTTTCTGTTACAGAAGTCTTTAAAGGAAGAGCAGCATAATAAGGTCTGGCCTACGCTGAGGGGGACTACATGGACAGCAAGCGAGGAGCTGGAAGAGGTGGCTGAGAGCGTGGTGGAGGAAGCGCTGGAGAGGGTGAAAGAGGTGGCTCAGTCAGTTATCACTGCCCCAGGGCCTGTGTGGGGGCAGGGGCAGCCCCCCCAACCGCCCGTGCAGGCCCTGCTGCTGCAGGGCCAGCCCTGGCCCCCCCGGGGGCCCCTCTGTGACACGGGCTGTGGGCCC